CCTTCCAGCTGCTACATATTTCCTTGTCATGGGTTACATTAGTCACGACCGATGCGACTTCCACGTTGGCAAACAGCACGCAAGGACTTACTTAGGAACGTGCTTGTGCCAAAATACGACTTAGGGTTGTTAACCCTTTTACTTCCGCGATTTGATCGTTAATTCTCCCTTCCAGCTGCTACATATTTCCTTGTCATGGGTTACATTAGTCACGACCGATGCGATGTCCGCGTTGGCAAACAGCACGCAAGGACTTACTCAGGAACTTGCTTGTGCCAAAATACGACTCAAGGCTGTTAAGGCCGAGGGGTGATTTTTTTTTTTGACAGAAGAGAAGCCAACGCTTGCCGCAAGTCAAGCGATCTCTCTCTTACTCTTTCGTGACCAGGGATTAATTATAAATTAGTGAGACATGCAAATTATTACACGCTCATTTAACGGAAGTGGTTTGCTCTAACGGCTTAAGCCTGCGATAGATGTTAGCTTCAAAATCATAAAAAAACCGAATAAGAAAATGTTCGCACAGCCAGTGAAAGCTTTATAAAATGATGTGATCATACTGGTTCTTACTATTTGTAACCTTCAGACTGTAAAACTCAGCATGAACCTAAAATATCCAGCCTTCTAATGCCACATGCAATGCTTAATCATCGTGTATGTCATTTCTTGTAGAAGTACACACTTCCGCTAGGAGAAACAGCTTTACCTAGCGTGAAAGGCAGGGCGAAATTGAATAAGAAATCTAAAGTACACTTTTAAACCATTTGCAACGCTAAATAATACTTCATTATCGTTCAAACACGGACAGAAAAGACGATTAAACAATGTTAGAGGTAAAAGCATGAGTTACCTTCCAAGTTTCCGTTCTCAGAGGACATGTTTTGCTGCTTCAGTCTAATATATAAAAAGTTCAAATTGGTTTCCCTTTATCTGACTAAGAACGCAAACCTCAACAGTGGCAGGTGAAACCGATTTTTTTTTCCAAGAGCGAAACTCGCTCTCTGGTTTTTTTTTATCTCTTTGCACAGTATATACAATTCTTAAAAAATACACGCCTTTATGATTTTCTGAATTTATTAGCTATGAAGGTTATATTTGTAAATCTTTGACAAATTAAACTGAACATATATTTACAAACGCGAGAGATGTTTCCTTTATCTACCTCTTTTCATCATTAAACAGAGGTTGTCAGTCGTCTACTTTAACGAACACTTTAGGTCGAGAAAATATCTTAATAGCGTCCTCTATCTCGGAGAGTTTCCTTTCTAGGTCGGCTTTCGCAGTCTTAACTCTCAGAGTGTCAACCCGAACTGGAAGCGCGTTCAGTTGGGCGAGAAGTTCTGTTTGATCTATAAAGAAAAGGAAATAATGAAAAAGGTCACGTTACATCAATTTTCCGTCAATTTTCCATCAACAACCTCGCTAACTACAAATTGTATCCAGTTATTTTGTAGCAACGGACGTCACTTATCTAAAGCGTTTGACACCATCAGCCATTCCATTTTGTTAGAAAAACTGTCTCGCTATGGAATACAGGATAATGAACTGAACTGGTTTACGGACTATTTATTCCTCCGAAACCAGATCGCTCAATTTAAGGGGGTATTGTCAGAACCTATCCTTATTTGCACAGGTGTTCCTCAAGGAAGTATTCTCGGGCCGTTATTGTTTTTAATTCATTTTAACGATGTCCACAAGCCGCTCCGTTATGCTAAGATTACCACCTACGCAGATGACTCAGTAATTTTCACATCCTCGAAAGACTTGGGTATTACTCAACACAACCTCAGAGAAGACATAAATAGCCTCGCCTCCTGGTTTCGAGATAACGAGCTTATCATTAATCTCAAAAAAGGAAAAACTGAAGTAATGCTTTTCGGAAAAACAAAACGATTAAGTGGTTTTGATGGCAAAGAACTTAACCTCTCAGTAAATGGATCTCGCATCGACACGACTACAAATTACAAGTACCTAGGTGTCTATGTGGACCCTACATGGAATCTTGACAAGCACTTTTACAAAACATACAAAAAATCTGCAGGAAGAGTGAATTTATTACGACGAATCCGTTCTAACACTGATACCTTAAGCGCTGAACGAATCTACAGAGCAATGATAATGCCCATATTCACTTATTGCGGTCAAATTACGCTTGGTTGGTCAGAGACACGAAGGTGCCAAATAAGAAACCTGGACCAACGTAGTCACAAAATTATTCTGCAAAACTCAAAATGTCTAAACTGTGAACTCCTTCTACCCACAATTGAAAATTTTTTCAAGAAAAAGGCTTGTTTACTTGTTTTTGATTGCCTAAAAGGCAATGTTTGTAGTCCTTTCAAAGAGTATTTTAAATTGTTAACCCACGATTTTAATACGAGGAACAGAGGGACCACCGTTGCTCTGCCGAAAGTGAGACTTGACTTTGCTCAGAAAAGTTTTTATTTTTTAGGAGCCTCAGCTTTTAATTTTTTACCTTTAAAAATCAAGCAAATTAGCAGTAGGGTACCATTTAGGGAGTCTTTAGATCAATTTTTTGCATAGGGCATTTAGTTAGGTGCGTAGTCATTCTTATCTTATTCTAGTTTTTATCCTTATATTATGTTATTTAGACAGGACCCCATTGATAACAGTGCTCCTGCACTGAAGGGCTATCCTGTATAAATATTCGTTATTATTATTATTATTATTATTATTATTATTATTATTATTATTATCATCATCATGTAACTCTCAAAAAAGAAACAACAACGTTGAATTTAAATTTACAAGACATGTTTCGACATTCTCATGTCATCTTCAGTTGCAAATGAGCTTTTACAAAACTACACGTAGTTTGTAACGTACCTTAATTTAAATTCAAATGTACAACAGTGAAATGCTCATTTGCAACTGAAGATGACATGAGAATGTCGAAACATGTCTTGTAAATTTAAATTCAAAGTTGTTGTTTCTTTTTTGAGAGTTATTGTCACTCTGCTGTCTTTACGTCCTTTTGGTAACATCATCATGTAGTACTGAATCAATTCGCACCCAATTTGTGTCGGTTCGTACCTAACTTGCTGGTCGATTCGTACCCCTCCAAACATTCAGTGACGATCAAAGCCCCAGAGGACAGATGTCGATCTTTGAGTAAAGTTCTATTGTGGGTGCTTGTGACCTATCTATTATCAACTAAATCATTACTAAAGGCAACTGAATTATAGTATCGCTAATCAAACCGCGGTCTATTTATACTTTCGAATTTCTTAACGATACGAGCTTAAGGCAGTTATCGAAATCGACCTTACTTTGAAAATACGTAATACAGACAACATACTTTCATCAGTTGGGGTAAGAAACGACTAAACAGACTGAGTACGAATCGACTGGGTACGAAACGTCGAGGGTACGAAATGACTGGTAACCCTACAAATAATCACAAAATGTGCATCTTGAGAAGTGGAATTGAATTTTGAATGACTCATGAACATTAGAACACGTAGTCAGAGAAGGTCTTTCGTTAAACCGAATCTAGACCTGGTAAGAGTTTCCCGTATAGATCTTAAAAGTGTATAAGTACAGTTTAAGAGTGAGCACGATAGTCGAAAACAGCGAAGCGTGAAGACCTTGAAAAGGCGGAAGGATACTCTTCGCAGCATTTATTCAACTCTTACAGTAACGGCCGCAGGAATAGCAGCATTACACGCGCGTTTCATGCGTGTAAATCCGCCACATTGCACGAAATTTACACGTAAATTACTTACGCATCACCCATAAGAAAATTAGCCTCGCTCACCAAGCGCAGGTTAGACGAAGAATTACATTATGTGTAGTACACTAGTTCGCTAGCGCGTCAGCCAAACGTGTAAGCGCGTGAAACGCAAGTGTTAAAGATTTATAGTACATTACAAATCTCGCGCGTTCTTTGTCTGGTTTCGATCACTAGACGACCTATTAGACTGGAACCCCAAACGAAAGTATGGCCAACACGTGTATGAAACTCGAGAAGATCTCGCGCGCCTTAAGCCTACTTTCCAAGGGCAAACCTTAACTTACTTTTTTGAAGACTTGCCAGAGTCTGTAGCCGTTCTTCTCTGGTCATCAGAGTGTGTCCAGGGGGTATACTTGGATCTGGTGTGTTAGCGATTCTTATTCTTTCCTCCTCCTTCCATTGTTTTTGACGTTCTTTCAGGCTGCAAATTGATCACATTTGTTACCTTGAGTTACGCCTTTGCTTGATAGTTGTAATAAAACAAGGCTAAAACATCTAACCATCTGCAGATGCCATTGAAACGCGGCAAATTCTCCTAAACTATTTCGAGACCCTTGGTGTTGCTTGGGTCTGTGATCCAACTTCTAAAACCAGATTTTCACAGGTAATTTATCTGAAACATGTAGCCATGTATACAAGAGTACAAAGGAATAGAAAAACTGCACTCACTATTTGGGAACTTTGCCTTTCTGATATCGCTTTTCTTGCTCTTTTTTCTTGGTGGCAAGCTCCTCTGCTGCAACAACTGAAGGTGGACGAGGTCTAAGAGGCGAAGGGGCTCGGCGGACATTTTGGCTAACGTGGTTGACATTTTTAACTTCGGGTTTGTGCTGAAATAAAACGGAAAAAAATAGACACGATGGATACGATATAACAGTTCAAAGTAAAGATATCTAAATTCCAGAGGAAATAATTGATTGTTGTTACGTCTAGAATGTCTTGGGTTAATAAATTCCAGGGAGGAAGAGCCCGAAGGATAACCTCGTAGCATCGGAGTTCAGAAAATCTCCAGCTACTGCACAGTATTCTTTTCTTACTTAACCCTTTCATAATCAGAATTGAACAAAGAGAAATTTCTCCATGAGGTAACTAACAAAAATTTCTATTGTGTTCAGCAACAAAAGTTTGGTTACTGATAATTACTGTATGCCAGTGAAAGAGTGAATGTCCTTGCTGTAAAACACACAGATGTAGAACTAAAGGGGAGATTGGTTTTTAAAGAAATTGTGGGACTGCATCCTTCAGGGGTATTACAAGATAGTTTCCTCTGGTTTTATCAACTGAGTTGATTACAATGAATGTATGAACTTCATATATTCATTATATCTGATTTATCATCACGGGTTTATTACGAATCAACTTAAGGGCGTCGAGTTGAATTAGGCCTGCTCCCAGTTGGCTTGTTAGCTCAATTGGTAGAGAGCTGCACTAGTATCGCAGAGGTCAGTGGTTCGAATCCTGTACAGGCCTGATTTTTTTCAGGTCTGATTTTCGCTACTGCATAAATAGCGCTCTCTACTGCGAGGACCGTGCATCATACGTATCTAATACCGCAGTTCAAATATATGAACTTAATATATTCATTGTATCTGAGTTGATAATGTTAATTGGTCACCATAAAAAATTTCTAACACTGACATTTTAAGCAAAGGGTTAATGCTCAAATGTCTGGTTCAGAAACTCTTTATGGCACCTAAATTTATCAACTCAAAGGTAGAACTCACCTCTTTAGCTATGGTTGCTTTAGGAACAGTCAGTTTCATTTCCCGTGGGATTACAGGTTCACAAGAAGTTGGTCGGTCCTTAACTGGAGGACCATTCCTTGAACCTGCTCGGAGAAATGTGGCAGAGTTTGAACGCATTAAAGGTGGTGGGGCTGCCTAAACCAGAAACAAAATGAAAAATACACAACAAAAATGATAGAACTGTCAGTAAAAGCTCCCAGCCAACCTGGGCTAGCCTGCCATCTTTGGGTGGGCACTTTCACCTTGTTTGACCACAAGTCAGATCAAAAATGGTAAATTTGCTGATTACAGAAATACCATGAAAGAAGTTTTCACCACAGCTGTTTCCCTGTTTTGAGTGGAATTGAATGCTTTATGTTACCAACAAAAGATTTAGAGAAAAGAAATGATGCTCACAAGGTGGACTGCACTTTTTGCAACCTGTTAAAATTCAGGCTTCACCGGGATGTGAACCTGTTCCTCCCACATAGTAGTTGGGTGCTACTACCAACTGAGCTATGAAGCCATACATTGGGAATGAGGCAAATTTTAGAAGGTTTGTCTTGACCCACTTAATGTTAAAAGGGAAGAAAATGTTATCCAACAGATGAATCACCACCCAGCAGATAAGTGTTGACAAAACGTACTGCGTTAATCCACTGCATATATATACTCAGAGTATAATGTCATCCAATCTTTGAACAACCCAGGCCTGATGTGTAGAGGTGGTACATTTTCCATCAATTACTAACTTCTTTGGGAATTAAAGCTGATTAACACTGATTGTTCTACTTGCTGTAATCTTAATTTCTACTTCATCTGTACTATCAATTTTCAACTCTATTTCTCATAGCCCTCATCTCCAAATTAGGTTGATATATCTTGTATCACAAAGCTGTTTCTTCAAAAAAAAAGAGTTCAAACCCACAAATAATGAAATAACACTCTATGCACCTTAATTTCAAGGGCCACCTTGGATTCAACAGAATCAAACTTTCCTGGTTTATAAACAGCCTTCACTGGTTCACTTGGGGTAGACCCTCGTTGTTTTTCACGATTTGCTTTCTGTATTTCTTTAATTCGATGGACATTTTCTTTTGCAAAATTCTTGTATTGTGCTGAAGCTAAGAACAGAGATGGAAATATGCATTTATGAAGGATTAAACAGTTCAGAGCACCTGTAAATTTATCAAGAGCATTAGAGTAATATGAAAAGTGCTCACCTATATGGCTTGTAATTCTCTAGTATTTTTTTAATGGTAATTTTCAATCTATTATATTCTGTCAGACACATTTTTGTTAAGGCCTCACTACTGGTGCTATTCAAGATCTATGCACATTTGACAATCAAAATTTTTCAGACATACATAGGTGTTGAAAAGTATCGAGAAATAACCTAACTGATTCACGAACGTTTACTGAACACTCCAACATACACTAAATATAAATATCATCAGTGAAAGTACATGTACGTAACATCAGTGATTAATTTTCTGAGCACAATTAAGTTCTGCTTGGCCAAATTTTCATGAATTTACACTGGTATATACATATGAAAGTGATATACCTTTAAACTGGCGTATGAAATTATATCTTGTAATCTTAAAATTCACCTGGTCTTGATCCGACGGAGTAAGGTCTTGCGGAAGGATTAAACAACTGCGCTAAAGTTCCCTGGTTTTTTATCGCATTTGACAGTGCTTCAGGCCTTACTCTAGCCTTTGGTAGCCTTTCGGCGTACACTGGACTGTATCGATCTTCGTTTGTAGGTCTTCTTGTATCAAAACCAGGATCTGTGGGTATTGTCCAAGTCGATAACATAGTTCTCGAAAACTCGACTTCCCTTCTTTTTGTGTCTAATATCAATGAACAGCACACTGATTACGAAAGATCATTGCATAATTTCGATGCGTCACTGCTTTTTTCCCCTTTTTACGTGAGATCGCGAAGAGTTTAGCAAGATTTCTGCGGTTCTATGACATTTCAAGATCACTTCATTCAGATTTTCCGTTGGTATGCAAAACAACTCCAAAGCATTCCCAGAATGCAGCGAGGCGTTTCCATGTGACCGCTGTTCATTAAGATTACTGTTCGCTAAACTTCTCCCCAGGACCTCCTCTTTGATGAATAAGCAAGATGGCGGGACAAAGCTGAATAATGAAATGCTACGTCAGAGGGTATGCGGGAAACAACGCTAGCTCAAATGTGCTAGGTCTAAAATTTAGCGAAATTAGGGGAAAATAATAAGGGCTGACTCTTAAAAACGAGGAACTCTGKTTT